GAGGGACCCTGCGGGGGGGCCCACGGGGGGAGGAGTGCTCAGCCGCACAGCCCGCCTGGCCGAGAGCCGGCCTTGGTGTCCAGCCTGACCAGCCTCAAGTCCAGCGGGGCGCCTCCTACCCCTGTGACCCGAGGGGTCATTCCTGCCACTCCGACCCTCAGTTTCTTTATCCACAAAGTGGACACGAGGAGCCCTTCCCTCTGTGGTGCTGGGAGAAGCTCTGGGAGCTTGATGCCTCGGCCGGGGGCAGGCGGTCCTGGCTGCGGGGCGGGGCGGGCACCCAGCGTCCTCAGGCTTTGGCAATGAAGGTCTGCCAGGAGGCAGCCGGGGCTGCCCTTTACGCCGTGTCTGTGGGTGCCTTTGCTCTAGGGCGGTGGAGCCGAGTTGTGACAAAAAGCGCGTGGCTGGCAAAGCCAAACACTTGCCGTCTGGCTCTTGACGCAGCTGTCCTCTCTCGTCTAGAGTCCAGCACGTGGTGGTCATAATAATAGTTAATTTTATTAATTATTATTTTATTATTAATTTTAAAAGGCCTGGTGGCTCACACCTATAATCCCAGCACTTTGGGAGGCCAAGGTGAGAGGATTGCCCGAGCCCACGGGTTTGAGAACAGCCTGGGCAACTTGGTGAGACCTCATCTCTACAATAAATCAAAACACTAACTGGGCGCTGTGGTGCGTGCCTGTGGCTCCAGCTACTTGGAAGGCTGAGGTGGAAGGATTGCCTGAGCCCAGCAGGTCGGGGCCACGGCGGTCCTTTGAGCGTGCCATTGCACTCCAGCCTGGGCAACAGAGTAAGAATCCAACTCAAAAAGAAAAAAAGTTAGCCAGGTGTTGTGGCCCATGCCTGTAGTTCCAGTTACTTGGAAGGCTGAGGCGGGAAGGATCCCCTGAGCCCAGCAGGTCAAGGTTGCTCTTGGGCTCAAGCCCCCAGGGCGACACCCACAGCTCCCGGAATTCCTGGCTCCCGGAATTCCTGGCTCCCGGAATTCCTGCCAGTTGAGCAGTCAGCCCTGCGGGCTGGGGGAGCCAGTTCCTCTCAGCACAGCAGGGCGTGGGGCCCCCGTGTGTCTGGGCAAGGCCCAGAGCGCAGGGCCCCGATACAGGGAGTGGGTGGCACCGTCTGTGTGACGAGTGCCCTCCCTGGCATCGCACCCCCTCGGGTTCCAAACCCACCGCTTACACGTCCTGGGCGGGGTGGGGGGGTTAGGGGCTGGTCTTGTCACTCTCCGAGCTTCGGTTTCCCCATCTGTGGAATCAGGGCCTTGGAAGCTCCTGCCTGCCCCCAAGGGAGTTGTGGGGGTCAATTGAGATGATTTACGAAACACAGAGTTTGGCCGGCTTGGGGTGGCGCTCCGTGAGTGACGTTTCCGTTCCGGACTGCCTCGACCTCCCCATCTGTACCCAGTGCTGCTGTTCACGGACTCACCATGTGGGACGGCCCCTGGCCCCCGGCTGGCCACACCGTGGGGGCTCAGAAAGCGCTTGCCACCTTCCTCCGCCAGAGCTAGACATCCCTCGTCTGGGCCACCTGGCTGACCCGGGCCACCTGGGCCATCTGGGCCTCCCGGCTCCCCTGGGCCACTCAGCTCCCCTCCAGGGCTGGGGTCTTGCCAGCCAATCACACAGCGACCACCGGCTATCCTGAGGGTCTCCTGCACACCGTGGGTCCTCCGGACGTCGCCTCCTTGGTCCTGTGACAGAACCCCGGGGAGGCCCTTTCTGGACTCCCATCTTGCCATTGAGTCACTGAGGCCCAGGCCAGCAAGTGCTTTGAGCCCACGCCCGACTTCCTTGTTTCCCGGCATCTCTGTTCACGCGCGCGCAGGACTGGGGTGGGCTTTATGGAAGGAGGAGGCTTGGGGCTTGCACGGGACTGCTGGGGCGCACGGCCAGGCTCGTGGGGAAAATTACTCCAGGCAGAGAGAGGCCCCATGTGAGCAAAGACGTGGAGGCTGGACCCGGCCGTGGGGGACCGGGATGTGGGAATACAGGGGCCGCGTCGCACGGACACGAGGGCCTGTGGACTGGCCCGTCTCTGCGGGCTGGGTCTGGGCGGCAGACTTCCCGGGATCCTGGGACGCCCTGGCTGAGGAGCAAGTATGAAACTGTATCAGCAGAGATGTAGGTTAGATATGAAGGAGAACTTTCCAGCTGCCCGTGCTGGAAGACGCCGGGCAGTCGTCCCAAGGGGTGTGGTGGCCTTTTCCATTCTAGAAGTGGTTTGGAAAAAGGAGAAGATGCCAGGATTCTGGGCTGACCCCGCAGCAGCTGGGTCGGAGACGGGCCACAGACCTCGGGTCGCGGCAGCCCCGATGTTGCCATCTCAGAACCCCCATGGCTCCCAGTTTCCGCCAGCCGAGGGCCCAAACCCTCCCTGGACTAGCAGGGGGCCTCCGGACCAGGGCTCTCCTCCCTCGCCGGTCTCATCTGGACCCGCGTCCAGCCCACCGAACTTCTTTTTTGAGAGACAGGGTCTTGCTCTGTGGCCCAGGCTGGAGGTGACTCCCTGGGCTCAAGGAACCCTCGCCCTTCAGCCTCCCAAGCAGCTGGGACGACAGCCATGTGCCATCACACCGGGCTAGCGTTTGTATTTTTTGTAGGGACAAGGTCTTGCTGTGCTGCCCAGGCCGGTTTCCAACTTCTGGGCTCAAGTGAGCCTCCCAAAGTGCTGGGATTTCAGGCGTGAGCCACCACACCCGGCCTGCACGTCCCTCCGTTTCTGGACTGCCCCGCGTTCTCTCGTTCCTCCTGACTTTGCCTGTGCTGTTCCCTCTGCCTCCGACACCGTCCCCTCACGCCCTCAGCCTCTCCTTCTCAGCTCTTGACGCATCCTCCATGGCGGAGTCAGGCACCCCGGGCCTCCCCACGGCCTCATGGGAGACTCGACCACCCGGGGGTGGGTACCTCCTGCAGGGCCAGGGTCCTGGAGGACGGGGACCTGGCCTGGCTTGCTCCGTGCGCATCTCCAGCACGGGTCCCACACCCGGGCAGGTGCTCAGGGAGGGCGGGCGGAGGGGCAGGGCCAGGGTGAGAAGGCGTCACTGAGGAGGTGCCGGCCCTGCTCACGGGGCAGTGCTGCTTGGGCCTGGAGGACCCAGTGTGGCGTGGGAGATCCCGGTTCAAATCCCGCCCCGGCCCCGCCCCCGGCAGCTCCCCTGACCTCTCAGCCTGCGAGGCCCCGGGGTCATGGGGGACGCGGCCACCGGCGTGGGCGCCAGGGGCCGGCCAGGCTGACTCTTCCACTCTCTCCTTGCAGGTGGCGGCCATGTCCGTGAGGGTGCGGTTCCTGTCCCCAGGGGACGCGGGTGCCGTGGGGGTCGTGGGCCGCAGCGCCTCCTTCGCGGGCTTCAGCGGCGCTCAGGGCCGGAGGATCGCGTAAGTCCTGCCTGCCTGGGGTGGCACGTGTTCGAGGGCCGGGAGGGGCAGCCCAGGGCACGTGTGTGGGGGTGGGTGGGTGTGGGCAGGAACCTGTCGTTTCCTTGAGGCCTGAGCAGGGACCATTCCAAAGCTCCAGAGGCCCGCTTGGCCCACCCCAACACCGGCTCAGCTAAGTTGAAGGATGTTGTTATGAAGAAAGAAAAACAATCCAGGCTCAGAGAGGTGGAGACGCTTGCCCGAGGTCTCACAGCAAAACTGGTCCTGAGTTGGGACTTGGTCTCCTCAGGGCGGGGTGAGGAAGGAACGTGCTTCCTGTTTGGAAGCCTGAGTCATGGGGACACCTATGCTGTGACCTGGGCTGGTGAGGCCGCCTCCTCCAGTCTTGGTTTCCCCATCTGGGAAGGGGGAGTCCTGCCCGTCCCGCCCCCACAGGCTGGCGGTGCGGGTGGCACGTGGGATGAGGAGGAGGCGCAGGCCGCAGAGACAGGGGCTGCGAGCCCCCAGGAGGAGGGGGTTTCTCCTCAGCTCCAGTCGGGCCGGGGCTTCAGGTCGGGCACTGTGCAAGTCCCAGGGAGCTGCCCACCTGATGGCCAGCCTGGGAGGGGGCAGTGTTCAGACCTCCTGAGGGGGCCAAAGCTCAGCCTGTCCGGGCAGATGGGGGGACCGGGACCCCCAGCCAGAGTGGGGTGCACAGCCCAGTTGGTCCATGAGTCTGTCGTCAACCACACTCCACCATGCGGACCCAGCTTGAACCCTCCAAAGGGCCCGCCAACCTGGAATGCGGTGCGGACCGCTCCAGGCCTGAAGGCCTAGGGCCCGGCCGGGCTGCTTGTGGCCCCCTGCTGCCCGTGCCCCAGCCATGCTGGCCGCTGCCCTCCCACGCCTGTGCCTGTCCAGTTGCTGCCAAGACCCACCCAGGGCGCGGGCCCTGGGTCCGGCGCTCCAGCCTCCTCTCGTCCTGGGCGCTTCCAGCCCTGGGCATGCGCGGTGGGGTTGGCGGCATCCCGAGGCCGAGACCCGGGCGCGTCCCAGCCATGGGCACCTGGGGAAGCCCTGTCCACGCAGCGGATGTTGACAGGCGCCCGCTCCACGCAGCCCTGCCCCAGGATCCAGGGAAAGACCCGGGCCCCACCCTCCCGGGCTCTGTTTCTGGGGCAGGAAACCAGGCAGGGGTGACCAAGACAGATTCAAGTGGTGGCGGGTGCTTCCAAGGAACTAGGTAGGGAGAGACGGGCATGTGACTCATGCCCGAATCCCAGCACTTTGTGAGGCCGGGGCAGGAGGATCACTCAAGCCCAGGAGTTGGAGTCCAGCCTGGGCAACTTAGCAAGACCCTATCTCTGTTAAAAAAAAACAAAAACAAAAAACTGGGCATGGTGGTGCACACCTGCGGTCCTAGCTACTCAGGAGGCTGAGGTGGGAAGATCGCCTGAGCCTGGGAGGTCGAGGCTGTGGCAGGCTGTGATCATGCCACCACACTCCAGCCTGGGCAACAGAGTGAGACCCAGTCTCTAAAACAATCAATCAATAAAAATAAAAGGGTGTGGGCCGGGCAGCGGGGTCTCTGAGGAGGTCCCCTGATGCAGGGGCAGGTGTGGCGAAGCCCTTCTTGGGTAGGCCACCAGGCCTCCACCCTACCCACAGTCAGCAAATTCTCTTGGGGAAGCAGCCTGGTGGGGGTGTTTCACACTAAGATGTGAATGGTTGCTAGAAGAAGGCCATTTCCCAAGAGGGTTAGGGAGATGGGGGGATGGACAGGGAACACTGTCCCACTAGGCCCGATGGACAGGCACGCTGGGCTGCCCTTCTCTCTCCCCTGTCCTCCAGCCAGGTCTGCCGTGACCTCACTGGTGGATGTCAGGAGGGGAGGGGTCAGCACGCAGAGAGCCCGAGGGTGCCCTTGAACCTGGCAGGTCCAGTCTCCCCAGGCGCCAGACCCAGGTCAGCCCCATCCCGCTGTGTAGACCTCGCAGGGCCTGAAGAGGCCCATCCCGGAGGCTGGGCGCACTCGGGACCCAGGCCCAGCCCGGTGCAGCCCTCGGGCCTCCCCCAGCCTGGTCAGCCCAGGCACGGCGACCTCGCGGGGGCTGGGGCCAGCGGGCGGCAAGTGCCCATCTGGGAGCCCGTCGGGCGCACCGGGGGCTGTTTAATATTTACCGAGCCTCCTGGAGCAGCTGAACCTCCGCCCAGAGGCGGCTCCCAGCCCAGAGCTGTGACACCCGGGCCAGACACGCGGCCTGGTTTCGCCATCTGGAGGCCGCGAGCATCTCCCTCCCTGGCCGGCCCGCCCTCAGCGTGGCCGCCGTGCCGCCCTGCTGGATCTCAGACCAGAGCGCTGGGCTCAGAGTTCCCGGGTGCGGGTGCTCCAGTGCAGCGCAGCAGGGGGTGCGAAGTCCCCGGGGGGACAGAAAGGGGCCGGCCGAGGGTGCCCCGGCTGGGGGCGGGAGGGCTTGGGGGCTGGCTGGTGAGCAGCAGCGCTGCCCCCCTGGAGCTGCCTACCTGCAAGCTGCCACCTGCCTGCTGGGACCCTCACCCTCTGGGGCTCTAACCTGCTGCGACTCCGACCTGGGAAACTGACCTGCTGGAATTCTAACCTGCCAGGACGCTGACCTGCTGGGATTCTAACCTGGGGCGACCCTCACCTGCAGAGACTCTGACCTGCCGGAACCCTGACCTGCTGGTACTCTAGCCCTCGGGACTCTAACCTGCCGGGACCCTCACCTGCTGAGACTCTGACCTGCAGGGACCCTGACCTGCCAGGGATTCTATTCTTTGGGGGCCCTAATCTGCCAAGACCCTGACCTGCTGGGACTCTGACCTGCCAGGACTCTAACCCTCTGGGACCCTCACCTGCTGCGACATTAAGCTGCCAGGACCCTAACCTGTTGGGACCTTATCCTGCCGGGACCCCAACTCTCCAGGACCCTCACCTGCCGGGACCTTAACCTGCTGGGACCTTAACTCTCCCGGACCCTAACCTGTGGGGACCCTGACCCTCCTTGACTCTATCCTGCTGGGACTCTTGCTTGCCGGGACCCTAACTAACCCTCCCGGACCCTAACCCTCCAGAACCCTCGCCTGCCGGACCCGCCTCTCCTGGAGGCTGCAGCCCTGCCGCCCGCAGATGGCCACCTTGTGGAGGGCCCTTCCCAAGAGGTGGGTGACGGGCTGGGCGGGGCGCACACCCTCTCCGGCCTTGGGAAGCGTCACTCCACGTAGGATATACACAAGTGACAGCAGCTGCAGGGGACAGGGACGGAGCACTGGCGACCCGCCAGGCTGGTGCCCAGGGCCTCAAGCGTCACCTGGTGGGAGCATCCTGTCCTCCCGATTTTCCCCTTGGTACTGGGTGCCCTCTGATGGCCGTCATTATTTCCACTTTTTGTAGAGATGGGTCTCGCTGGGTTCCCCAGGCTGGTCTCAAACTCCTGGGCTCAAGTGATCCTCCCACCTCGGCCTCCCAAAGCGCTGGCATCACAGGCTGAGCCGCTGTGCCTGGCCGCAATTTTTAACTTGTCTTGCTGAGCTCCAGGATGCTTATGGCATTTCATCGCTGCCAGGCACTGCTTGAAGCTGTTTGTAGCGGGTGGCCTGTGTAACTCCCACAGTCACCCTTGCCCTGGAGCCCGCTTTACAGAGGAGAAAATTGAGGCACAGAGAGGCTCACGAGGTTGCCCAAGGTCACACAGCTGGAAAGCGGGGAAGCTGGATGCCAACTCCGGCGTCTGACTCTATGCCGGGTGCCTCTTCCCACCCCCGCCCAGCCGGCCTGTGAGCTCACGGGGCAGGCACTTGTCTGTTTGGGTCCCCGCTCTGCCCCAGTCCCTGGCGTGATGGCCTGTGCCCAGCAGGTGCTCAGACGCGCACCTGTCAGGCAAGCGCTCTCGGGACCCCCATTTTACAGGTGAGGAAACTGAGGCTCGGGTCAGCGATGTGCCTGGGACCTCTGGGGCTGGGCTTGAACCGGGGGGCTGACCCCAGAGCCTGCGTCCTGCACCAGGCAGTGCTCGCAGCTCCGTGAGGCCGGGGGTCCAGGGTGGGCTCCACCCCCTGCCCTGGGTGCTGGTCGGTGCGGAGCCACGAGGACGCACGCGTGGGCAGGTTTTCGTGACCTGGGCAGCCCTGGTGCCAAGTCAGCAGCCTGCCGTGTGTGGAATGTGTGGCGTCTGGCCTGGCTGGAAAGATGACCTGGTCCCCCCAGGCATCCCAGGGCCAGATGGGGTGGGTGCTTCCCTGGGCCTGTCCTGCAGGCCCCGCCCAGCTCTCCTGAGAGCTCTGCGGACTGCCCCGGGGGACAGGGAGAGGCTGCCCTGTGAGTGGGCGAGGGAGTCCAGGGACAGCCAGGGGCAGTGAAGGCCGGCCCCTCGA